ACGTGCTGCACCTGGTCCAGACCGTCAGCTGGCCGCTCAGTACAGTCGTTGTGGGGCCTTTTGGGAGCCTCTTGGGAGACTCTTGGAGGCCTCTTGGGGGCTTCTTGGGGGCTTCTTGGGGGCTTCTTGGGTGCCTCCTGGAGCCTCTTGGGGGTGTCTTGTGCCGTGATGGTGCGCTTTTTCCCCGTTTCGCCCCATCGGAGGCCGTCTTGGGTGGCTCTCACGGCCGCCTTGGGGCTCTCTTGGGGTCCTCTTTGGCCGTCTTGGGGCTTCTTGGGTTGTTTTGGGGGGTTCACTGGGCCGTCTTGGGGCCCTTTGGAGCCGTCTTTGGGCTCCCATGGGCGCTTCTGGGGCGGTCTGAGGGAAATGTTGGAAGCTGTTTGGGCCGTCTTGGGCCTCTGACAATCGAAAAAGGCGAGAACGCCCAAATCCTTCAAACACTGTTGGAAAATCATTGATTTTGGCCTCTGGGTGCGTTCTTGGGGGTGCTCTCGGTGCCCTCCTGGGCCGTCTTGGGGAGCTTTCTGGGCTTTCTTGGGCCATCTTGGGCCGTCTTGAGTGCGTAGTTGACCGTCTTGGAGCCACCCCGGGCCATATGGAGACCTTCTTGGAGTCCCAGAGAGACCCTAAATACCGAAATTGTTATATATAGAGAGAGAGAGAGAGAGAGAGAGAGAGAGCACCAGAATTGGGGCCGTCACTTTGGTACGGCGTAGTGGCGCGACTCCAAAGGGGGTTCGAGGGGGAGACATCATAATGTAAAACAATACAACATGTAGCAATTTTGAATCATTAGATCCATTGGATCCGTTGGATACGTTGCATTTTCGGGGCCCCCTTGGGTGTTTCTTGGGCCTTCTTGGGGCCATCTTGGAGGCTGCTTGGGCCGTCATGGGCTTCTGAGAGGCGGAGAAGGCGAGAACGCTAAAATCTGTTTAAACAATAGGAAAATCAATGATTTTGGCCTCTGGAGGCGCTCTTGTGGGCGCTCTTGGGGCCCCCTTGGGCCGTCTTGGGGGCTTTGGGGGCCTTCTTGGGGCCATCTCGGGCCGTCTTGGGGCAGTCGCTGTGTGGCCTTTGGGGGGCTTCTTTGGAGCCTTTGGGAGGCTTCTTGAAGACATCTTGGAGGCCTCTTGGGGGCTTTTTGGGGCCCCTTGGGGGCCTCTTGGGGGCCTCTTGGGGCCTCTTGGGGGCGTCTTTGGCGGTTTTGGGGCGCTTTTGCGCCGTTTCGCTCCTTCGGAAACCGTCTTGGGGGCCTCTCGCGGCCGCCTTGGGGCCGTCTTGGGGTCCTCTTGGGCCGTCATAGGGGCCTCTTGGACCGTCTTGGGGGCCTCTTTGGGCCGTCTTGGGGTTCTGTTGGGCCGTCTCGGGGCCCTCTTGGGGGCTTCTTGGGTTGTGCTGGAGCTATTTGCGAAGCTGCTTGGGCCGCAAAGGCGAGAACGTTAAAATAGTGCCCAAACCACAGGAAAATCAATGATTTTGGCCTCTGGAGGCGCAGTTGTGGGCGCTCTTGGGGCCCTCTTGGGCCGTCATTTGGGCTTTTTGGGCCCTTTTGGAACCATCTCGGACCGTCTCGGGGCCGTTTTGGCCCCGACAGAGCCCATCTTGAACCGTCTTGGCGCTCTCTTGGCCCCCCAAGAGGCCCAAGAGGTCGAAATCATAGATTTTCTATCAGTTTTGGTAGGTTTCTGAGCCCCGGGAGGGGGGGTGCCACTTTGGTCCGGCGGTGTGGCGCAGCTCCCAGGGGGGGTTAGGGGGGGAGACATAATAATGTAACACAAAACAACATGTGGCAAGTATGAAATCATTGGATAAATTGGATACGTTGCAGTGAGGCGTTCGCCGGAAAACGCTGCCGCTCAGCACGTCACCTCCGGACGTGGATTCGAGAGGCTTGCGCCTTCCCGCCGACCCTCGAAAGAAGGCACAGGCAGGGTGCGACAATCACGGAGGCATGCTGGAGTCTCTCACGTCTCGAAGAAGAGAGAACCACACAAGCATAAACGCGCTGCGCTCCGCACGGATTTCTTGGATCCGCGCCTGGGCCCTTCCAGCGGCGCCTTCGGCGCCCTCCCTGGCGCGATCCGCGCGCCAGGGAGGGGGTCCCAGCGCGAATCCAAGAAATCCGCGCGGAGCGCCAAAAGTTTGTGTTTATGTTTTTTTGGTTCTTCGGGATTCGGATGCCTTCCGGCTGCCTCGGGGAGCGTTTACCGAGGCATCCCCCCTGGGTGCTTTCGTGGGTGCCTCTCAAATTTCTTGGAGGGCTCTCGGGGGTGCCTTCGTGGGTGCCTTCGTGGGTGCCTCGTGGGTGCCTTCGTGGGTGCCTCGCTCTCTCGGGCGCCTCGCGTGGGTGCCTCTTGAGCTTCTTGGAGGGCTCCCGTGGTGCCTCGCGGAGGGGCGGGTCGCCGGGCCCCAAGAGGAGGGCCCCAGATCTCCGGCGACGGCGGTGCCGATGGCGATGACGACGTGCTCCTCCGAATGCCAAACTGAAGTCCGGCCTGTCTCTCTACAGGAGGAAACATCAAAAATAGTCAACACAAAAACAGTCAGGGCACGATGTGTGGACTATGTTTGAGCATCTGTTGCATATGTTTTGACTAGTTCTTATCTTTCGTCCAAAGTCCGCCTGTAGGAGGACACCCCCGATTTAATGCTAAAGTGCGTACACTTCGTGACCATCGTTATCGTCATCGTCATCGTCGTCGTCGTCGTCGTCATCGTGTTCCTCATCGTCGTCGGTTTGCTCCATCACGCAGCTTTTTCTTGCGCGGTCGAGCGCGTGGTTGCGAAACGTCCTCCCCCAAGAGCTGGGCCGGCGCTTCTTGACCACCCTGCCGGGGAGCTGGCCCTGTTTTTTGAGCACGCTCGCCCTTGCGGCGTGGACCGAACGAGCTGGCCCAGGCTGGACCCAAGAAATTTCTGGGAAGCCGGCCCAGGCTTCTTCGATCTCGAAGAGGAAGACACGCCATAAACATAAACTTCTGGCGCTCCGCACGGATTTCTTGGATCCGCGCTGGGCCCCCCTGGCAGCGTCTCCAGCGCCGCTCCTGGCGCGTTCCGCGCGCCAGGGAGGGAGGCCCAGCGCGGATCCGAGAAATCCGCGCGGAGCGCGGATCTTCATTTTTTTGATCATAGTTCCAGCTGTGCTCTGGTTGCCGCGCATTTGTTTGCATGCTTCACCTTCCTCTGGGCGCTTCGGGTCCTCCCCGCGGCACCGTCGCGGTGCATTCACAGTCGCAGGTCGCATCGGGCATGTCCCTGTATCCTGTACAGGGGGAATATTTCAAAACAGACGAAAAATAGTCAAGGGACGATTTTCCGATTGTGTTGTAGACATGATTTGAAGATCTGCTGGACTATTTGCGGGAAGACCCGTGGCTGTTTTAGTGCAAGCAGAAGATGCCAGGCACCCTCCCGAGCCCCTCCAGAACCATCTTGGTTCAGGCAAAGGCTTCGGCCCCTTTGATGCATCAGGAAGTGGTGTACACGCTGGTACTGAAAACATCTTGTTCTGAGAAGCTGCCGCTCCCCCCGCTTGTTCACCAGAATTGGTGGTAGCGGAGCTGGCACCAGCTCCACGCGGAGCGCCAGCACGCCCCAAGAGTGTGAACGAGTTAACGGACTGAGGCGAAATCAGGAGCAGAGACCCTTCCCCTTATGGACCTGAGCGGAGCAGCAGCTTTGCGAGAGTGGACACCCGTGTGAATCAGACGTTCGCCCGCAGCCGAGCGGAGAGTCGACACCATGGGTGGCGAGGAGGGCGAAGCGACCGATGGAGAGGCCGCCGCAGTGGGAGGGAGCACCGAGCGCGGCCGCTACGCGCCCCCGCCAGAGATCAAGGACT